AAAAAAAAAAAAAAAGAATAGAACACAAAACCAAGAGAGCCCAGCCTCTCACGCAGAGGCCAGACTTGGTAGCACACGCCTGTAATCCCAGCACTTGGGAGGCTGAAACAGGAGGATGCTGTGAGTTTCAGGCCAGCCTGAACTACATAGCGAGATCATCTCAACAAAAAAAAAAATAAGCCTATCAACCCTCAAAATTAATACACTGTCCTAACCATAATATAAAGGAGAACCAAAGACATGATATATATATTACAATATACAAATGAGACACAACTACCACTAAAGAAATAGCATAGCCAGACATTCACCCCTTTAGGTTAGGTTTTCAGGATGTGACACCATAAATGCTGATGAGGTACAGCTCTGCTGTTTCAATTGCAATGTGATTTTCCGAAATGGCCAGTGACTCCTAAGAAATCCTGAAGAAACCAAGTTAGCCACATTCGGGGCACATTTAAGGCAGTCATCACACTGCTCGAAGATACTCCCAGTCCTCTTCTTCCAGACATCAGCAGGACAGAACTTCCCAACTCTCCTGAAACTGGACATGACCATATGATTTGCTCTTGCAAAACAAATGTGCCTAAGTGAAGTCTGTCCATTTAGGGCTGGAGCATTTCATATTGATGCAAAACTTTGGTGCCCTGGGTCTCAACAACAACAAATTGAGAAGACAACAAACTGAGCAAGATACGCTCTCCTTCCACAGTGACACTAAAGGCTATATGTTACTAAAGCATAGCCTAACCTGATACAATATTAAAACATTTTGGAAAAAAAAAAAGTTTTATGTTTTTGAGGGGTTTTCTTGGTTTGTTCTGGTTGGGTGTTTTTTGGGTTTTGCTACATAGTTCACCCTGGCCTTGAACTCACTGTGTAGCCCAGGCTGCCCTCAAAGTTGGCAATCCTCCTGCCTCAGCCTCCCAAGTGCTAGGACTACAGGTGTGCACCACCACATCTGGCCCAAGTTTATGTTTTTATACAAAATGGAATTCAGTTCTAGATCCTTATCATTATAAAGAGCATACACCTACATAACACCCTGTAGCTTTGGAAAATCACAAAGGACAGGGGACAATTCTTTTTTTTTTTTTTTTTTTTTTGTTTTTTTTTGGTACCGGGGATCGAACTCCAGACCTTGCGCTTGCAAGGCAGGTGGCGGAACCACTGAGCCAAATCCCCAGCCCTAGGGGACAATTCTTTATTATTCTGAATTATCTTTTTCCCTTTCGCCATAGTAAAAGCCAGTAGCATGCCCTCAGTCATCCAGACAACTCAAACAGGATCGCCCAAATTCCCTAGGAAGTTCCCTAGGCGGAGATGTCTACCGCCAGCCGCTGGGGACCAGACAGAGCATGAAAAGCAGGGAAGTGGGCTGGACCAAGAGGCTCAGGGAACACCTGGCTTCTAAGGGGCTGGTGACCAAGATTCCCTGCTTTGACAACTGTAGTTAGGCATCTGAGCTGAAAGGACTCAGATGTGCATGTCCTTGTAAAATCCAGTCTTCCCATACTCTTCCTAAATTGGTACACATTTGTGACACATAAGGAATATGATCATTGCAGGAAGTTGGCACGCATATATATCGCATCTCAATCCTTTTTGGTAAAATCCAATTTTAAAAAGAACTCTGTTAAGTCAGTTTTGCAAGAGCCCCACCTCCACACCCAACCACTCTCCGTGTCTGGTCAGACTGCTCATCCTTCACCAACCCAGGCGATGTCCCGGAGCCACCTGACCCCAGCAGGAATCTGGCTGGTTGGATCAGCCAGCGTCCCCTGACCTGATGCTTCTGCTTAGCTTTCCCCTCACCCCCGACGATGACCCTGCTCTTGGCTGTGAACTCCCACTTGCTCTGCTGTGTCTGGGTTGAGCTGCACTGCTGTCCCCACTGCCACGCCCTATACCTACCTCCATGATCCTGAATGAACTCACCCTTACCTTGCACTAACCAGTGCCACGGAATAATTTTTTCTTTAACACCAGCCCTCTCCCTCTCTAACAGTGACCATCAGGGGACTCTAACTTGTCAAACCTTCCAGTGAAACAAGAGAAGGTTAAAGTTCAGATTTTTAAAAATAAAAAAATAAATAAAAATCCAGATTTTTATTTTTTTTATTTTTTATTTTGGTACCAGGAATCAAACTTAGGACCCTGCGCTTCTGAGCCAGGTGGCAGAACCACTGAGCTAAATCCCTGGCCCACGATATTTAGAGAAACCATTTGATTTCTAAAGTTCTGCAACAACAGTTAAAGATTTTTAAATGCTCTGCAGCAAACAAAACAGTTTTGCTGGTTGTATGGGGTCAATGTCCCCCACTTTGCAGACGGTGAAATGCTAGCGAAACATGAGTTCTATTTACCTAAATTCTCTTCTTTTCCTGGTGAAGAAAGAGACTGAATGAGGCCATATGTGTTTGCCCAAGCTACACGGCTGAAACCAACGCCAAGAATCAGATCGCTAATATCTGCCACGTAGTTCTTCCTGCAGAATCTTATTTAGTAACGAGGTCAGCTCTATTAATATCCTGCCTAATTAACAGCAGAATCCCTAGCTTCTAATTTCCAGTCCACCACTGTGTACCCTTCCCTGCCACGTTGCTGTGTATAGTTATGTGACTTAAAAGAAAAAAAGTTTTTTTCTGCTTTCCTAACTCACCTGTCCGAGTTTCCTCAACTGTGCTGTTGTTAGTGGGAAAATAACTTCCAACCTGTTAGGTGTCAGACGTGCCAAGTTCGTGGTCTCACGACATCTGGAATGAAGTCACAAACCACAGGTTAGGAGAATTTTATTGGAAATAAAGGGAATAAGAACAGCTCCCGGATTTCCAGGAGGGGTCCTGAGTGACCACCGAAGCCTTGGTCGGGTGATTTACACAACAAAAGCACAACCTGCAGGGCTAGAAGTCCAGTCACTTGGCGAATACTGATCCACAGGGAAGGGAGGCAGGTAGCAAGGGCACAGGACCAGCATCATTAACTTTAGTTTATAACTTCTTTTTCGTACTCTGAATCGAACTCAGGTTGTCGCGCTTGCCAGGCAGGCGCTGCACCGCTGAGTTGCAACCCTAGCCCTACCTACAACTTTTAGTCAGAGAAAGAGCAAGGCACTCCTGGAAAGGGATGGGTCCAGGTGTTCTGCCACCCACCTAGGCATCTGAGGCCCACCTGGGCCCACTGGACCGGACAGTGCTGACCGCGTGGGCGCTCCAGCCGCCTCCCTCAGGGGGCCGCAGGGCGGCTGTCCAGGTTCGCCTCCAGCCACAGCCTCCGGCCCGCGCATCTGCACCGGGTCCCTCGAGGACCCGATCCCTCTCTATTAATTTCTGTCTAACTTCGCCATGTGTAATCCTTTTCGGGCTTGTTCTGAACAATTGTGCAGAAAAATGATGAAGTAAAAAATATCAGATATGAAATAAAAATAGGAAATAGTGCCACAAGAAAGTGGAGGAAGAGGCCAGGCTATGCGCACACTAAATTCCGTGAGAAAGTTCAAGAGAACCTCCATGCAAACAAGTCCTCCTGGCTGACGGGAACATGGGTGTTTCTACTGATTTGTGCTTTCCCAAAGCTCTCTGAGGAGACGGGTGAGGCGGGCGCTGAGACTGGAGACCGGCGAACCGGGCTACTGGGCCCAAGGATGCAAACCCGCCCGCCCGCACCGCCCCTGCGCCCGCCCGCACCGCCCGCCCGGCACGTGACGCGCCAACATGGCCGACCGGGCGGACGGCGGCCCGGCGGGGCCGGCGCTGGGGCGGGAGCGCGGCTCAGGGCCCGACTCAGGCCCGGCGCTGGACGAAGACTTCGAGATCGTAGAGCGGAGCCAGCTGCCGAGCCCGGGCGAGCTGCGGAGCGCGACGAGGCCCCGCACGACGCCCGAGTGGTCGGCGCCCATCCTGACGCTGGCCCGCAGGGCCACCGGGAGCCTGACGGCGAGCTGTGGGAGCGCGCTGCGCGCGGCCGCGGGGCTGGGCGACGGCGGCGGAGACGGTGCGGCGCGCGCAGGTAGGCTCCGCGTGGCGGCGGGGTCGGGAGCGGCGCCCGGGACTCATCCTGAGCCCGGCCGCCTCAGCCTCCTGCCCCGCGGGGTGCAGCGGGTCCGCCCCGAGGTCCCGGGCCCCGACCCGAGGGAGCGCGCGGCCGTGACGGGCGCTGGACATCGGGGAGGCGGACTCGCGCTCCGTCCCTGAGCGCGGCGGTCCTCGGCCGCGCGCAGAACCGAGACGATTTCGCACGATTTCGCTCGATTTCGCTCGGGCCCGCGGCGAGAAGCCCTGCTGCTGGGAACGAACGGGTCTGATCACCTACGTGGGTCTTTTTACTAGTAAAGTTAATAAAAAGTCTGTAAATGGACCGAACCTAGTTAGTTGCTTGAATTTGAATAGTTACTGCCCAGTATAAATATTAATACTATTCATACCAATTTTTCGATTTGTTTTTTGAGACAAGGTCTTGCTGTGTAGTTCGGGCTGGCCCTGAACTCAAAGGAATTCTGCCTCAGCCTCCCAAGTGCTGGGATTACAGGCCTGGCAACAATTACTTTTAATTTCATTAAAAGTTTATTTCATTAAATTAAAAGAAATTTATTTACCTTCGTGAATTTCTTTAAAATATTTTCTACATAAAGGCGGGTGATTTGTGCAGAGTGCACAACACGTCATAATGTGTTTGATTTTTTTTTTGCTGTGACAGTGGCACTCATTTTTCAGGTAATTTTGATAACATTCTGTATATTGCTTGTGTGCATTTCTTGCCGATCTTAAGCTTCTATGAAGTGAATGTTTTTCGAGTAATTTGTGCTGGTGTCGTTTCTTCACGATTTGTTTATCAATAATAAATTATCAGGGCCGGGGATTTAGCGCAGTGGCAACGCGCCTGCCCTGCAAGCACAAGGTCCCAAGTTCAATCCCCAGTACTGAAAAAAAAAACAAATAAATTCTCTAAACTTTAACATGGAAATCTTATGAGTACCCCATTGCTGGTGTGTATATATAATGTGCATTTGCAACTGCTCTATCACAAATTAGCTATATTACAATTTTTTATACCATTTTAATGTTTTACTGAAGGAATGGCAATATGATTTCCAGTCTGCTGCATCAGTACCTCTTTTTTGCATTATTGTAGGGTTTTATGTTTCCAGGTTTCCCTCAATCTATGTATGTGCATGATTTATCAATCCATTTCACAGATTTTACACCACAATGCTTTTCATAGTTTATGATTTCACCACTTTTTTTTTTTTTTTTTGGCATGGGGATCGAACTCGGGTCCTTGCACTTTGCGAGGCAGGCGGTGGAACCACTGAGCTAAATTCCCGGCCCTCACCACATTTTGGCTTTATCTTTTTTTTTTTTTTTGCTACCTGGGATCGAACTGAGGACCTTGCACTTGCCAGGCAAGCCAGCACCACTGAGCCACATCCCTGGCCCTGCTTTATCTTTCTTGTAGTGGTAAAAATGTTTGATTTGGCAGTACTGTGCCACAAAAGAAAGTTTCTTTTTGTAAAAGTTCTTGTGCTAGGAATATACTCCAGTAATCAATAATAACTATCTGCATATAATGTGTGATGTTCAGATAATCTGTTCATTAATTTCAAAATGACATCATAAGAACACCCATTCAAGCCAGGCATGGTAGTGCACACCTGTAATCCCAGCACTCAGGAGGCTGAGGCAGGAGGATCACCATGAGTTTGAGACCAGCCTGGGCTACATAGTGAGTTCAAGGTCAACCTGAATTACATAGTGAGACTCAAAAAACAAAACAAAACAAAAAAACCCTATGCATCGAAGGGTTTGCATTTTTTTGGCATGGACATATGAACCATTTTGCACACATAATTTGTATAACTTTACCCTGCGTTTGTGCCATTTTCCTTTGATATATTGGTGCAAGTGTAGACATCCTCACCATAAAGTCATACTTTCATCTGTCACTACATTTTTCCAGGTTTTACTGCACCTTTGAATGTACTAATTTTTTCTATGATTTTTCTTTTTCTTTTTTTTCTTTATGGTACCGGGGATCGAACTCGGTCCTTGCACTTACACAGCAGGCGGCTAAACCACTGAGCTAAATCATGGCCCTGTCTATGATTTTTCTAAATTTATTCAGGGGATCCTCAGTTCTGCAGGTGGTATTGTCAGAGAAATGTAAATAGTTCAAAATAGTCAAAAAAAGATTGTGTCACATGGCATTCTTTATATGTCTGTTGGCATGCATATGATTTTCAGACAAATAGACTCTAATATCTGGTGATGGTATTAGCCCCATAATTAATAATATACCTATGAATGGGCTGGAGTTGTAGCTCAGTGGCAGCACGCCTGCCTGACAAGCACAAAGTCCTCAGTTTCAAAATTTAAAATTCCCCCTGGCGAGGCATGGTGGCGCACACCTGTAATCCTCAGCTCTTGGGAGGCTGAGGCAGGAGGATTGCCACAAGTTACATAGTGAGTTCAAGCCCAGCCTAAACTACACAGTGAGACCCTGTCCTTAAAAAAAAAAGCAAAATGAAACAAATGTTCCCTAATGTCCAGCCTTAGCTGTCCCTAAACCCTCTCTCCACCAGTACTACCAGCACACACAGTCACTTGTACATCACGCACACACATGCCACACATACACATCACACACACCATACGCACATTATAAACATGTATCATGCTCACATCGCACACATCATGCACACACAGATCTCTTCCTCTTTTTACTTGGGTGCAAACTGTAAGGACACAGTGATTTCCAAGTGAACCAAGTTGATTCCTCAGGCACAGCAGCCACACCTGCAGGTGCCCAGGGCAGCCGTTGGACAGCACAGTGCAGAACATTCCCGTTGCTGTGGAAAGTGCTTCGGGGTGGAGCTGAGCAGACTGGAGTCCTTTCAGAGCCTCAGTGTGATGTGCCTTTGTGGTAATGTGCCATGGCTCCGAACGGTGGCATGATGGCTCTCCCAAGTGATGTGTGTTTCAATCCTGGTGGTAGGAAGTAGGACTAGAGGTAGTAGTGGAGCCCACTGAACCCAGGACCGACTGCCCTGGCTCACCATCCTTCTGGAGACTTCTGCACAAATCGAGGTGTTGTGTGGTCTGCCCCTTGACTGTCTCGGGCATGGATCTTTCCGAGGCCCCTGCATTAGCTCCCGCCACTCAGCAAATCAGCCATGCGGCCTTGATGGGGACGTTTTCTGGGAAGTGTTGTTAGGTGATTTCACCGTGTGGACACTGTAGCACATATTTACACACCCTGGACAATGTAGCCTTCTCTACACCAGGCTGTGTGGTGTGGCCCATCGCTCCTCAGCTGCAAACCCATGCTTGGCACTGCACTGACTACTGTAGTGGGCTCAAGCCCTTGCCTGAACTACAGAACGAGACCCTGTCTCAAAAGAAAAATGGTTTTCTGTCCTCAATAATAAATTAACCTAGGGCCGGGGATTTAGCTCAGTGGTTTCGCCGCCTGCTGCACAACCGCAAGGACCCGAGTTCGATCCCCAGTACCAAAAAAATAAAATAAAATAAAATAAATAAATTAACCTAGCTTACAGTAACTTGTGCCTCATAAACTTTTTTTTTTTAACTTTTTAAATCTTGGAATAATGGCTTAAAATACTGACATTATATGGCTGTATAGACATCTTTATATCCTTATTACATGAGCTTTTTTCTATTTTTAAAACTTTTTTTTTTTACTTTTTTGTTAAAAACCATAACACAGAGCACTTGCCTAGCATGCATAAAGCCCTGGGTTCATTTCCCAGTAACACACACACACACATACAAAACCAATAGAACAGTGGTTACCAGACCCTGAATGGTTAACGGGTAAGGGGCGCTGCTGGCTAGGAAGAGTAACTTCTAGTATTCTATAGCACCATAGAATAAGTACGATCGGCAACAGTTGATTGAATATTTCACAACAGCAGAGAGGGTTTTTTGGTGTTTTGTGGGCGGGTTTTTTTTGGTACCAGGGATGGAACTCGGGACCTTGCGCTTGCGAGGCAGGCAGTTGCACCACTGAGCTAAATCCCAGCCCAGCAGAGAGGGTTTTGAGTGTCGCAGCACAGGAAAGTGATACCTATCTGAGATGATAGATAGGCCAGTTACCCTGATCTGATCATTGCCCTCGTATACAGGTACCTAAATGTCACACTGTAGCCCATAAATATCCATCCTTACTATGTGTTAATTAAAAATAAAAGTACAGGGCCGAGGATTTAGCTCAGTGGTTTCACTGCCTGCTGTGCAGGCGCAAGGACCCGAGTTCGATCCCTGGTACCAAAATAAAATAAAAATAAAAGTACATTTTAAAAACAACAAAATTAAGACACAGAAATACACATTAGCTTGGGCCAGTGTAAGGTCAGGATCATCAGTGTTATCATCTTCCACTTCCACATCATTTTTTCCCTAAATGGTGCCTTCTGGATTACCCCTTGAGGGTTACTTTTTAGTCATAGTGGGCCCTCAAGTTACAACTGACCTGACACATGAACAACTTGAATTAATTAGGTTAATGGAACAGTCATCTGCCTCTTGTTATCTGTAGTGTGTACCCAGGTAAACACCCAGATCTCAGCTGTATTGACTTAGAACCAACTTGAGTTACAACCAGCCCTCGGAACCGATTGAGTTGGTAAGTCAAGGGTCCTCTGTAACATTTTTCTTAAATAGAAGGAGTATTTGTTGCCGGGGCTGGTGACACACGTCTGTAATCGCAGCACTCTAGGAGGCTGAGGCAGGAGGATTCCAAGTTCAAGTAGAAAGATCCTGTCTCAAAATAAAAAGTAAAAAAGAACTGGGGATATAGCTCAGTACAGAAGCCCTAAGTTTAACCATTAGTACAGGGGGAGGAATACATACTAAAATAACTATAATAAACATAGTGTAGTAGATACACAAACCATTAATAACCATTTATTAACACTATCAAATACAGACATTCCCCATTTAATGATCTACCTGTTCAATGACTTTCAGACCAACAACCGAGGCGTGTTCTTC